CAGGGCTGTCAGATGGGTGGGACAGCTTCAGGCCCTGGGGACAGGGCCATGCAGGACTCCAACTAGGCATGTCCTGCTGTGAGGTGTCCCAGTACCACAGCCGAACAGGGGGGATGGAGCTGACCCCCATTGAGGTGCTCCTCACTTTTCCCACCTGTCTGTGTTAGTAGAGGGCTTGGGCACAGCACAGGGCCATGCAGGACTCCAACCAGGCATGTCCTGCCATGAGGTGTCCCAGTACCACAGCTGAATAGGGGGGATGGAGCTGACCCCCATCGAGGTGCTCCTCACTTTTCCCACCTGCCTGTGTTAGTAGAGGGCTTGGGCACAGCCAGGGAAAGGCTTTCAGGGGTCGTCCTTTCAGGGGTCGTCCTTTCAGGGGTCATCCTTTCAGGGGTCGTCCTTTCAGGGGTCACCCTTTCAAGGTCCCTTTCCTGCTGCCAGCTAAGCCCCACACAACAGGTTGTAAGCAGCGTGTTGCAAGTGTCAAAGAACTCTGGTCTTTCATTGCCTCTGGGTGGTATTTATGTGCATGGAAACGCTCTGGGAATTTCTGGCAACAGCATTTGCCAGGCTCAGCCAGGGAGCTTGGGAGAATCTGTCCTTTTTGGTGTGCCAAACCCCGTGGTTGTGGTGCGTGCCCTGCATCTTCCTGCCATCCCTTTGCAGGCGAGCGGAGAGGACGGCCCCAGGAGCACCCAGCAGGCAGAGAGAAGCTGAAATGCCCCAGTGCAAAGTAAGTGAGGAGGATGTTGGGGTTGGACTGGATGATCTGTGAAGGTCCCTTCTGACCCCTGTCAGTCAGTGATTAGCCAGGGCATAGCAGACTCCCCTTGCCAGTGTTGCCTTTGCTCAATCAGGACTTTTCCTGCTGGATGTTGTTGTCTCTGCTGGGTATTTTCTGAGCCTCTGTGAAACTTCCTCATCTCAGCTCTTGGATCTGGCAGAACAAGCCTTTGTGCCAGCTTCTGAACTGGGCCTTAGAAAGGGTTTTTTGAGTCCCACTGCTGCTTTTTAATGGCAGCTTTCTGGGACAGTTTAATATCAGGAAGGGGCATTTTCAGTGCATTTAACAGGAAACAGATACAACCACCCATCAAACGAGTTCCCTGGCTCTGGGAGCCCTCTGGTGCCCCTGGAGCCAGGCTGCATGCAGACCCCTCGGTGGCACAGGGGGTGAGGGGGGGTGCCAGCCAGGGCAGCAGCTCCAGGGACCTGCCAGGAACCGTTTCTGTTGTCAGTGGCAGCCGTGGAGTTTAGTGGCAACCCTGGGTGTCAGCGTGGTGTGTTGCTGCTCTGTTGCCACACAAAGGAAAAAGGATTGTTACCTGGTGTTTCCTGGTATTTCCAAAAGCTTCCTGTAAGCTCCTGTGACTGAGACACCCAGCAGTGTTTGAGATATTTAACCTGTTTCTGTTCAATAACCTGATCTGTTGTTTTCCTTCCTACAGACCTGTTTTAAAGGACAGGTTGAATCGCCTCAATCCACCCTCAGAACCAGTTCCTAAACTAGCCCATGTAAGTAGAAACCTTTTGAGTCTAGCTTTGTATTTCATGCTTGAAGTGACTCTGGGCAGAACAGGGCACCCAAATGGGGACTGTGAGTTCCTAACCCCAAATGGGGTGCAGCCAACAGATTGCTAAATAGCTGGCAAGAAATCATTTTTCAGGAGAACTTGGTATGGGAGACTCTCCTCTGCTACACACTGGTGGGTGCTGTGTCACTGCTCTGTTGACAACTGCTTTGTCACCCCTGGACCAGCTGGGCTGGGGCAGGAGAGAGCTTTGGGGTGTTGGGGTGTGACTGAGCTGAGCTCTTCTTGGGCCTGAGGTTCCATTTTGTCTCTCCAGGTTGACAAGAATAAGAGGGATGCTCTCAGAAACGTGCCCAAGGGTGCTCCAAGGGATGGCAAATTTGGTGCCAGATCTGTACCACACGCTGGCCACGCTGCTCAGAAACCTTCAAATCCAGCCCAGAGAGCAACAGGGCTGCCTCCAGAGCAGCCAAGGAAGAGGACAGATCTTCACTCTACCCAGCCCAGAGGGAAGCTCCCAACTTCATCCTCTGGTCACCTAAATGCAGCCAGGAACAGGAACCCTGCACTGGAGACTGCTACCACTGCAGCACCCCAGGCTGGCAGTGACCCCCCCCATCCTGGGACACCTTGCTCCCCACAGGAGGGCCCACAGAACAGGCTGGGCTGCAACAAGGAAAACATCCCAGCAAAAGCCTCCACACACCCTGTGCTGAATGGAGCTTCCCAGTCTGATGGAAAAAATCTTGGGAACCAAGGAGTCTTGGCTCAGAGGCAAAGCTCAGCCATGGTGTCCAGAACCATCCTGGGCCCAAAGGACAGGATTACTCACTGCCTGGCTAAGAAAGAGACAACTCAGGATAAATTCCAGAGATCCCTGACAGGCTCAAGGAGCCTGTCTCAAAACCCAAGTGTCCAAACCCAGCAGCTGCAGCCCTCTGGCTCACTCACTGCTGCTGCTGCTTTGCCCCATCAAAAATCAGGGGCAAAGCAGGAAAAAACTGAGGTGGCAAAGCCACCCCTCAGGAAGCCCCTGAGCATCCACCCCGTGGGACCTCCGAAGCACTACAGCAGACCCCCTCAAACGAAAAGACCCCCCCCAAAACCTCTGGCCTCCAGCAGGCCCCAGGGGACCACAAAGGTGACATCCAGCCTGCAAGCAGCCCAGGGGCAGAGGCCCCCAGCGAAGTGGGAGGCGGGTAGGAAGGACGTGAAGGTGCTGCCCCCCTTCCACTCAGCAACAGCCCGTGTGGCAGCCCCCCAAAACCGCCCTGGGGGCACACAAGGCTCCAAAACTCAACCAGTGGGGAGTGGTTTGAGGAGCAGGATGGATGGGGTTAAAGCAGAGCTGCCAAAGGCCAGTGGGATGTTGCCCAGGCGTGTCCCCAGGACCCCGTCCGCTGCGGATCGCAAGTAAGAGGCTCTGGCCCCCACCCCCAGGGGACAGCAGAGTTTGGGGGGTTTCACTGGGGGAACCAGCAGCAACCTGCTGAAAAATGGGGTCCAAAGTCCCCCTGTCAGTGAACATCTGCTTGGAGGTTGATACCCCAGAAAAGAGGAGGTTGGGTGGTGCTTTGGTGGTGCTTTGGGTGCCAGCTGAGGAAGTAGGAGGAGAGGGTTTGGCAGCTCTCCTGTTGCAGCCTCAGGGTGCACCTCAGCTTCAGAGGGTTTCCCTTTCCCAGCCCAGAGCTCAGATGGGTTTTTAGGGTAAACATTTGGGTTCTTCCTGAGCAGTTGAAGTGGCCAGAGGGAGATTCCATGGGAAAACAGCAGCCTGAGGAGTGCTGGGTATCTTCTGGGGGGGTCACAGATCCCTTGGTCCTTTCACAGGAAGCAGCTGGAGGAGTGGTTGGCATCCAAAGGCAAGACCTACAAGCGACCACCCATGACACTGCTGCAGAAAAACCCAGTGAAGCTGACCTGGAGAAGTGTCAAGGAGAAAGACAAGCAAGAGAAAGCCAAGCAGCAATCCCTGGAGAAGATCAACAGCGTGTTAACTGAGTGCCTGAAGCTCGTTGAGGAGGTGGGAATGGGACAGCTTGAACAGGCTCCTCTTCTCCTGGAGCATCCCAGGAGATGAGGGACACATCCCCCAACAATATGCAGGGGCTTGGTACAAGTGCTGAAGAGTCTCTCCCTTGACATCCCTCTCATACTGTAACACCCAACTGTATGAGCTTCAAGAGGCCAAGGGCCAGGTCCTGCCCTTGGGTCACCACAACCCCCTGCAAGCCTCCAGGCTGGGGC